CATTTCTGTAGTATGTTTTCCACAAGGGGAAGCTGAAGCATTTTCTAAGAATCAATTAATCTTCACAACCCATTTCTGAAGCAGACTTTATTTTTCCCAGTTTACAGAGGGATGAAATGGCAGATAGGTTAATTAACTTGCTCAAGGTCATTCAGTGAGTTAGCAATCGAGCTGCAACAAAACCCCAAAATTTAACAATTCCCATTCCCAAACCCTTCACCTAACCAGTAAGAAATATCCTTTCTCTTCAGTCTTAAGTACTTCATTGAAATCTATCACTGACCATTTATTCTGACATATTGTTGAACTCCAAATTAGTCAGTCTGAATGACAAACATGGAAGTGCGTGGAGATCCACAGCATCCTTTGCCTGTTCAGCCTTGTGCAGCATCTGTTACACTGGACAGCTCATCTCCCATTAAAAATGGATGTGTTACAGTTCTCCTGCAGAACTGCCAATATCATTCCAGGCATCGCTCCGAGGGCACTGCACAAGAGACAAACGGCACTGGCTCTCTTTCCCCAGGAGGAGGGAAGGCTGCCTCGACAGCCTGGCTTTTGGGGAAAGCAATAAACTCAAAATGCCAACTGGCTTTGAAAAATAATTTCTGTTTTACTCTTATATTGCATCTCCCTCCCAAGTGTTCCCAGTGTTAGATAGCTGGAGCAGCAGTACTTAATAGTGACATCTTTGTGGATTCCACTCCGGCATTAGTTTGATGAGTTACTTTAAAGTCAAAATATCCTTCAAATGCCCACCCAAAGTCTGTCAGTCTCTACATATCCTCTCCGGAGGGATTTGCAATTCAGATGTCTCCGTGGCTCAGCACAAATCACTGTGCAACAAAACACAGTTGAAGTTTGCCAATTAATCACGAACACATAATGAATAACAAATAATTTCTAAACACGCATGTAGCCAATGCAGTTCTACCAAATGCTCAGAGGGTCCTTCTACTTACCCAGATGATTTTGTTCCCTTATGTCAGTATTTATAGCAAGAAAATGTTAGAGATCATGTTACAGCACAGCAGCTCTAAGCATAAGACTTAGGAGTGAAGTTGATCACTTTGTCATACAGGTACTGCTCAAATGCCTCATTTCCAAGATCAAATGCTACAAGTTCAGACTCTGCTTTCCTCTAATGTCAATAAACAAGCACCAATGAGCAAACTGTCACCGTGATCTTTATTTCTTTCTGAGTATGCCTTTGCCTTCTCATAACAAACAATGGATCAAGTGTTGCATTTTGTCAAAATTTTGCCTTAAAGCTATCATTCAGTTATAAATAAAATACATACACAAGATGAATTAACTAGATAAACAGATCCCTGTTGATCAAAAAATATAACTCCAGACAAAATTACTGCCAACTATTTGTAAAAAGGTCTTTATTGTACTTTATCATGTGGTCTCTTCCTCTTTTTTTTTTTTTTTTTGGCTGCTTTGCACGTGTTCCATGAATGTCTCTCCACTCCCTTCATTTCTTTCCTCCACAAAAGTCTCTGTACACAGAATGCCCATGTTGTCTTCTACCCCATGTCACTCTCCTTTAACTTCTTTCTAGGGTTTTCAGCTTTTTCGCTCATTCATCTCCCAATGATTTTCTTGTTAATAATTGCTAACAAGTCCAAACACTTTGTTCTGCTTGCAACAAAAAGCTCAGGAGGATCTAACAGCATGTCCATCAAATTCAGCTCATCACAAACCCACCCATTCCTGTAGTCAGTCTCTGCTGCATCCTTCCATTCCCTCAGCATGCCAAGTCTCATTCAGACTGGGAAGATCTTGGGGTGGGGATGTTGATTTTACACTCCCTGGCAGAATACAGGGAGACACAGAGTCCTAGATAAGGTGAGCAAGACTTTTTGGGTCCATGGATTGCAAACCAGATCATCCTCCGTCTCTGCAAATTTGCAGATGTGTTGAGCTGTTGTTTTGTTGACTGACGTGACCCTGATTTTCCATCCTGATTGTCTGTATGCTGCCTTACTGGCATGCTAACCCTGGCTGGGTGCTCTGCAAGCAATTCTCATAACCACAGCAACAACAGTGAGACAGTGACATAAATAGGCCCTTGCAAGTGCACACTTTACTTTGATTTAATAATAATAACAGTAATGGCTGACAGGAGAAACAACTGAGCAAAAAGGCAGAAATATTTAACTAATGTAGACCTTTTCATATTTGTGCTTCCACCACTCCAAACAGGCCTGTTTGGAGCCTGGAGCTGGAGCCTGCAAGTATAGGCAGCAACAGTATTTTGAGGGAAAGAGGAAGATATCTTCCAGTGGTCTATATGCCAGTTTTCAGAGTGTGGGTAACATGTAAATAAAATATTTTCATTGATGAAGAAGAATGAGATTGAACTGATGTAACTACGGAATCAGGCAGGATGATTTACCAAAATGCAATATTAAATTACTTTGCCCCAATCCTTTAACATAAATAAAGAAATTTGAAGATTGAGAAGGTAAGAGTGCATACAAAACCACCATCATTATTTTAGAGATGCAAAGACAGTAACTTGTTCCAACTAACCCTGTTGAGAAGGGGTGAAATGGAGTGGGGCTGGCTGCAGAGAATCAGGCTGCTTATCCTTCCAATGAACCAGAAGTGTGCTCAGTTTGAAGCTGTGTGAGGAAAAAGCCTCATTACACCTTGCAAAAACTTCTCTTCTGTGACAGAAGTTAATCCAGTCTGCATGGAAGAAGTATTTCTGAACTCATGTTTAAACAACTTAATCAGGGAACAAAACGGGGGTGTTTGTTTAGGAGCCAGCAATCATAATTTGATTATAGCAAGGACAGTTGTTATAAAAAGGACAAAGGACAGTCCCAGTCAGGGAAATTGTCTCTTTTTATCCCCTCACCACCCTCTCTCTCTCACACACACACACACACAGACACTTCAGAGAGACCTTCTCCATCAAGATCGGAGAAATGATGAGAAAATTGCGATTCAAAAATAGAGATAGATATGTAAATGAGAATACTTATAATCTTACTCCATAAAGTCATGATTGCTTAATTAACAAAATGGCCAATTTTGGCTGAAGGACAACTTTGTCTCAGCAGCAGGGTGAAGGAAACACTCAGAAGTTAAAAGCATGGTATAGAACAATGTAGAAATGCAAAACTATAGGAGAAAATGTTCTGTTAATACAAAAAATGAAGACTACAGAAAAAGCATAAATGGTGTGACTACAGACAGTAAAATGAGGGGTGCGGTAAGACTGATGTATGTCTAGAGATGGTAAAATAGCACAGAAGTAGCAGAAATGCTAAAACCCTCTATTTCCTCCTTAGAAATATTAAGGAAGAGACACTTTTCTTTTCTTGCAGAAAAAAAAAGAAAAAAGAAGCACTTTTCCATCCATTAGTCAGTAATGAAAATGTTGGGCAAGATCTACTAGAGCAAACATTTTAAAATTAGAATATCTACAGAACTTTTATATGACAGTGTTTGAATAACTGGCTAAAGAAATTCCATGAATGTTAATTCTTAATAATCACAGAATCATACAAAGGCTTAGGTCAGAAGGGACCTTAAATATCATCTAGTTCCAACACCTCTCTGCCATGGGGAGGGACACCTTCCACTAGATCTGGAATATAAAGGAAATTAGAGGATCATGCCAATATTCAAAAAGGACAAGAAAGGGGGCTGGGTTGCCCAGGCCATGAGGCTGCTCTGCCTGTGACAAGCATGGAAAAGGTGACAGAAAATTAATTAAGGAAGGATGACAGAATAACAATTTATTCAATGCTTGGCAGAATCTGCTCTTCTAGAAAACAGGGCAAGCCAGACAAACCAAATTTGCTCCTTCAATGGCATTACACGTTTGGCATATAAATGCAATCACATAATTGTCATTTACTCAGATGTTTGCACAGAGTCTGATTTAGCACCTCCTGGCACTGATTAAAAATTAGCATAAATCAAGCACTGGGAAAGCTCATTTCTAGCGGGATTGGCAGTGGCCAAAGAGGCGCCAGGGGAAGCGTAGCAGGGTCAGGTGCCCATGCCCACACCTCAGGGGGTCCCCTGGGCACACACCCCACTCCAGGTTTGGGGCACGAAGGTGAGTGAGCAGCTCACCACCTTCATCAGTAGCAAGAGACCAAAAGGACACTTGTGCTGAAAGACTGAGATTGTACAGGTGAATTTGCCAAGGGAGATATATTTATGCAGCTGAATAACCACCTTTGAAAACAAGCAGCAGGACAGAAGCAAAAGTCATGAGAGTATGGACTGGCAATGAGCACAGGAGCCCTGAATTTGGAGAAACAATCTCTCAAAGTGGTTTGGAAACACAGTGAATGACAAGCATTTGTGGCTCCCAAACTCTCCCTTTCATCTCTTTTCAGTAAAACTAGATTTTGACATTTGTCCCGATTTGCAGCCTGGTCAAGAGTGAAGACACTCAGCTTTCAGCTCTTAATGTGAACTCATGCCTTCTCCCAAGAGTAAAGTCAGCTTTATTTTATTAATCTGAGCACATGTTCTTATGGAGCGAGGCTGCTGGCTGGACGTGTCAGTGGAGATATCTCACACCACCCCTCCCGGGCAAAACCAAAGAATAAGGCTCTAGGTAGACTTATCATCCTTTTAATGAGGATAACTAGTTTTCCCATTGCATTATTAGATTTAAGCATATAACTCCAAAGCTGCTTACAATAGGGAGGGAAACGAAAGAAAGGGAGTCACCCCTAAAACGTTTTGTTGTTGACGCAAGAGGGTGTGACCCTCTTGTGGTGTGATCCCTGGGGGTCACTTCCAGCTCAGGATATTCTGCGATTCCGTGGCTCCACGACCGCGGGGACAGCGCCCAACGAGCCCCACGGAGTGCGCGGAAGGAAGACGAACAGCAGACGGAGAAAGAGGAGGAGGAAGATCCCTCCCTCGGCCGCCCGTCCCGCCCCTCGCGTCACCCGTGCGCGCCACCTCCCTCCGGCAGCGCCGCCGCTCTTCTGGCCGGGCGTCAGCGCGGGGTGAGCGGGGCCGAAGCGGGCTGCCGGGCTCCGGGCTGCCGGGCTCCGGGCTGCCGGGCGGGGCCGTGTCCCTGGGAGCCGCAGCCCTCGGGCGCGTCCCGGCGCTCCCGTCCCGCAGGAAGCGGGGCCGGCCCGCCTGAGGCGGAGCCGCGCGGGCCCGGGTTGAGCTCCGTGGCGGCCTGGTCTTCCTCCGGTGCTGCTGGGAAATGCAGAAGTAACGCGGGGGAAAGAGCGTTCTGCTGGCGTATTGCGAGTGAGAAAGGAGCAGTCCGAAATTAGCGGGTGGATGGGGAATAAAGAATAGGGCAGCCCAGGACGGGAGCTCTTGGCTTTGGGTGGGAGTAGGGAGCCGGGAGCAGGTGGAGCGGGAGCACGGAACGCTGGATTAGGTTTAGATGTGCTGACTCGGAGTGAGGCATCCTGAACATGTCATTGCTGGAAGTGACAATAACGAAAGTACTCTTTCGTCTCACAGATGTAACATGTCACAGAATCACCCCAGAACAGGCTTTAGATAGATCTGGGAGTCTGCAGCCTTTGCTTTGCTTCTCTCTCAAGCGTTCTTAGTCGGGCAAGGATTAATGGAGGTCTTCAGCCTCAGCTTGGGTTGTTACAATTCCTTTAGCGAGTCAGAAGTGAAAATCAGGTTACTCAGACCACAGGTTTGCATTGTTCAGGAGCTTAAGGTATTTTCATTTTAAGGCTGCAGTAAGTAGATAAGCAAGTTGTGTGTTTGAGTCCGGTGATAAAGACACACTTTTGGAGTCCTGTGATGAAGAATTTGGGGGACAACTTGTTGCTTTGTCTCTGAATGCAGGAATTAGAACTGGCTGTTCCGAAAGAGATGATTAAGTAAAACTTAGTGATTATTTCCCCCTGTAATAGATGCTCATGTTGAAGCACTGCCCTGCAATCATTTAAGAGCTTCTGTGTTCTCACACTAGGCCTACTGCCTTAGCTCGAGGTCTCTGATGCTTTGCCTTCCCTTTTGTTACTTTCACCATTATTCTCTCTTCTCAAATTACTTGTATTATTTTCATGCCTGATTTTTTTTTCCTGCTTCCTTTAGAGTACTTTGCTAACAGGAGTAAATCAAAGTAGGTCCTCCAATGAGATGTATGTACATGAGGTTATGAATACTCCAAATTTGTGTTACTAAACAACAGACTCGGTGTAATCATACTGAAGTGGACTTAGCACTGACCTGAGTATTACTCTTTTCCATGGTCTTTAATTTGTTGTGCTCATATTCTGGAATCAGCTGTGCAATATTTTTTAAAGCAAAAATTTTAAACTTTAACCTCAGTGTCATGCTCTTGAAGGAACCTGCTTAATTTGTCTTCAGACAAATGTTGTGTTATCATTCATTCAAAAAGGCAAAGTACAGACGAGATACTACTTCAAATACAGGATTATGGGATTCCTATTCTTGTCTACTGCAACCAATTCTGCAAAGAGTAAAGAAGACTTAAAATGGGGAGCGTTAGGAAAGCTGGGAGAAAACCCTTCTCATGCTACTTTAGCAGAATGGATGTTGTCTGGTGGTCTAATACCAATGGTTTTGTCTTTGGGGCATTTTTGTTGCAGAGGTTTTTAGGTGAGAGATGACTAAAAGAGACTGGGAAGCTGCTGATTGATTTTCTTGGAAAAAAGAATCTGGCATGGGAAAACTAGTTTCCCTCTCAAAAAGAATAAGTGTCATGAGAGACTGAAAAGAGAATGGAGAAAAAGCTGTTGGAGATGATCAAGGGAAGGGAATTGAGATGGGAAAGATTTGTGTGATTCATATAGAGAAACATGATTTGTTTATAGCCCATTGTTACATGGATTATAACAGTGTTTTAAATAGGATGAGAAACTTTCATGAGGAAAAACTTCCCAGGTCATTTTCTCTGTATGTTCAAGTGGTGCCTTACCTTGTGCTTGTGTAGCAGTTGGTGGTATCACACGGGTGCAATTTTTGGCAGAGCTCACACTGTAATTGTTCCTGTGGAAGGAATTTAAGGGTTGTCTTGAGCAAGCTGAGTGAGTTCTGCTAATAAACCTTGCTAGCCACAGTAAATTGTGGTGCAGTGGACTTCCATAGTTGGTATTGCTGTCTGTAGGCTGGGAATTGTCCCTGAATTCATGTAGATGTTCTTTATCAGCAGGATTACATGCTAAAGTATTAGACTGATTTTATGCAAGGAATGTGTGATGTCAAATGAGTGATCAGTGTATGATACGTTCCTTTGTTTGCCCTAATTCTGGGATAGCTGGTTCTACTCTTGAGCTGGGTGAAGAGCTGCGGTTCTTCTGTTTGCTTTTGCAGCAAGGTCCATCTGTCTGTGTGTGCCCACTGCTCCTGGGGAGATGTCCAATGTTTCCAGCTACGCCCTCCGCATGGCCCGGCTGAGTGCCCAGATATTCGGCGACGTTGTCAGGCCCACAGACTCCAAATCCATGAGGGTGGTGAAGCTGTTCAGCGAGCAGCCCCTGGCCAAGCGGGAGGAGGTGCACAACTGGTACCCCCCTCACAACACCTACTATGCCCTCATGAAGAAACTCCGCTACTTCGGGCTCTACAGGTGCTTCCTGTGCTTGGAGATGGGAAAGGGGTGGCTGGGAGCCTCCTTGCAGTTGTTTTCCTCAAGGGAAGTGTTTCGTTCTGAATATAGTGCATATGGAAATAGGCACTTGATTGTTGGCACTGAGGGCAAGGAGAGCAAAAGTGACTGCTCTCATAATTGGAACCTTTTGTGAGAAAGACTGGAGGTTTAGTTGTGGGCAAGCAGTTACCTAAGAAATAGTTCCTGCTTTTGCTTTGTGGGGAAGAAAAGAAAGCTTTCTGATAGACAAGAGATGGGTCTGTAGTTCTGAATATGGCCAATGAATGTGCTACAAGGAGGTGATGTTAACACCATACTTAGCATATATTTCTGTTATTCAACAGCTAATAAGTGAAATTTAGGAGAGACAGAAAGTCTCTGTTAGGCTAGAGGGCCTTTTTATTCTTCAAAATAAATTAAATTAAATTCAAATGTGATTGAAATAGTCTTGTTAATTCCTGCTTCATCCAAACCAGTTGTCTAATTTCTAAATTAACTCTCACAGTCTGTATCAGGGAGAATTGTACTGCTGAAGAACATCAGCAGGAGTCAAATGCAGTTCTTTCACTTCAATCAGGTAGCACTAAAAAAATTTTTGAAAGTGAGGCTGCAAACCCTGTATAGTCAAAACAGATTACTTGTCGCTAGTATGACAATAGTAACCATCAAGGATTGCATCCAGGATGCTCTTGCTTTAGGTAGGTGTGCCAACACTTTCTAGACTGGCTGTTTGTTTACACAGAAAGCCTCAATGTGATGCTAATGTTCTTTACTCTTCTCCTTCCTCTATTAAGTTCCTTTTCTAGCTGTATACAGAGAGCTGGTAGGAAAAAAAAAAGTGTAATAAAAAATCACGACTGATTGGGCCGGTAATAAATCACAAGCTTTTTGTTGCTATTTAGAGAAGCTGTGTTTAAAAATAGCAGTGCAGTAATCTTAGGCCACATAGGATGCAGTTATGACTTTGGAAAATCACTTTGCACTAAAAAAGACAGGGAGAGATTAATAGAATTTATTAGAAAGTGATTGAGGATTAGTTATCCCTGCCCCTTCATCCTCCTTTCTATTTTACTCTCTCATTAAGATTCTCCCAGTACTGATGCCAGCTTCATAACTCATTCCTGAAGTCACCTGAGAGCAGTGCCATGTGCTGTAATTACTGCTCAGCATGGCCCTGTTTCCCTAGGAGCTAATGACCTGAACACAGGAACACAATGTGCTCTGGCTGCACTACTGAGCTGGATAACAAGCGGGAAAATCTTATTCTTGTCTCTTGCTAATTTTTGCATTTTACTGCTCATTTAAGCAAAGGGGATCAAAAAATGCAATTGAAATAGTACATATGTGCACACACCCTTTGTTGCTGAAAAGGACACCCTGTTAGTTCTGAAAATATCAGAGGAAATCTCTCATGTTCTTATTCAGTGATACTGCCAGCAGTAATATGGAATACATTACAGCAAGCTTCAGTGTGGACTTGATGGTTAAAAAAGTTTTGATTTTTTTTTTCATTGGCATATAGTTCAAAGAACTACTGGTATCTCCACATCCCAAGAAAAAGAGTAAACTTTATTCCTTCTTCCCCACCTAGGGATGAGCATCAGGACTTCAAGGAGGAGATGAGGCGATTGAAAAAGCTCCGTGGGAAAGAAAAACCAAAGAAGGGAGAAGGAAAGAGAGCTCTCAAGAAGAAGTAGTGCTGCTTGAACAGGGTAACTGACTGCTCTGGAAATTCTGGGGAATGGCTGGAGAAGGCTTGGCATGTGGGCTGCATGTGGGGCACAAGAAACATGCTCTGAAATTGTGGACTCCGCCTTGGGAATGCACTTGGGTCTTTGAAGTTTTACTGGTTTTGAATTTCTATACTTCAAATATACTCTATATTGCAGCACAGTAATAAAAGAAAAAGTGCTCAGTGTTTTTCTTGAAACACCTGTATCTGTTTCAGTTTTTCTTGATCTGGAAGTTGTTTGCTTTTCATTGTCTGTTTTACTTTCTTGTATTAATATCAACACTGTTTTACATGTGGCCACAAAAAAACAAGGATTCCTGCTTCTGCAGCTGCTTGTCAATGTTACCTGTTATAATTAGTTTAATTTCAGGTAGCTCTAGTGCTATTTTTTTTAAGTTTTTTAAGTTGCTGTTACATTCTGGTGTTCTGTGCTTTTCATGGGACAATACTCCCCAAACCACTGCCTACCCACAGCACTCTCATTGTACCCTAAACTTTTAGATACCACAACAGAAGAGGCTGAAATATTAACTAAGTCCATATAATAATGGAACTATTATATGCAATAATGAAATTTTAAATATTTTTTACAGTAAACTTATTCTGATTGCTTGGAAGACATGTATGAAACACTACCTAAGATAATGGACATTTTTATTAGCATTCAGTAGGGGTTTTATCACTAGGCTCCTTTTGTTGCTAATATTAATCATTGGTGGACCTACATAAATTTGTAAAAGCTCAACAGCTCTACCTCACCAAGGTTATTAATTGAAGAGGTGCTGATTGTGTTAAAAGGTGTTTCTGGTGAGCTGCATAGTTCTTGTTCAGTGTCCTTACTTCATGTTACCTGCTTTTCTAAGCTCTAAAAGAAGCCAGTTTTAGGAAATCTGCAATGTTGTGGGAGAAGCACCCGAGTTCTTACCACAGTCAAACAAATGCTGTAGAATAATATTTTATATGCACTGCTCTGTACTGCAGTGGTAAGTTTCTCTTATTCTAATTTAAAATCCTATTAGTAACTTAGAACTTTTGCTCAACTGTAATGTGCTTAAGCCATTTTTGTGTTCCATGTGTTGTCTGTGGGTTGTGGCCTGTGGTACTGAAGTACCTGGAGCCTGTGGTGGGCCTGCCAGGAAGTTCATGGTTCCTGGGACATGAGCATGCAGCTGAGGGGGAAGGGTCTGGTTCCCTTAAACTCACCTTTGGGAAGAAGGGCAGCATGGACTCACATACTGGGCAGGAAAGAGAATTAGCCAAGTAGAAAGGTTGCTGCTGCCTGACACTTTCTGGCTAGGAGTGTGAGGAGTGAGGTTGTTACGTTGCTTGCTTTGGTGAAGAGAGAGAACCATTCTCAGCAGAGCTACTGCAGCAGCTCTGCACAGCTCTTGATGCCTTCTAAAATTAAATCCAAGATAAATAAAAATGTTTTCCCTGCTATTTAAGATGAAAAATCATCTCTTCTGGTGCTGCTAAACTCTTAAAGCTTTCACAATATAAACACACAAGGGCCCAAAAAGTGTGCATGCATCAAAAAGGGAATTGTGGTTCTGTAAAGGAAGTATGAATGGCCTTAAACTTTGTGTGTGGGGGCACACTTGGTTATGAGTAACCTATAGCAATATATAAAATACTTGTGCAACATGATGAAACAGTGCCTGTGAAGTAGGAGATGTGAGACAAATGGACTGAATCATTGATTTTCACCTTTTTTTTGTGCAGCATTTACAAAAGCAAATGGATGGAGGAAAAAAAAAAAACAACCTCTTTCTGAAAAAGTACAAGTACAAGAGGGTTGCCCTGCCTAATTTTTCATTATTTTTCTTCTGTAATACTCATTTGCTAGAACTTGGTCTTTTCAAAAATGGTTGTTTCCCTTCCCCTAAATTTTCACCCTAAAATAATGATGACTCAGCCAGTATTGGAGCATATCCTAGTGTAAGTATAATCCATTGCTTCCTGGGAGCATTAGCATAACTATTTTGTTCCAGAAAATACAGCCTTCTCCTTTCCATAAGCAATTTCCTACCCCCCTTCTAACCTTTGCTCTGTCATTTAGGAATGGGCATGGCATGAAGAAGACTGCATTTCATTAATCATAGGTACTAGACAGATTGGGAGTCAATCCTGAAGCATCACACGAGGTATAATGCAGGAGGTGTATTTAGGGGAGGAAGGAGAGTTCTGGTCACGTTCTGAAGGGTAAGGATAGGAACACTTACGCTTTACACAGCTATTGGTATAATGGTGTTTTATGTACATCCATTTTATGTACAAATTACCAAGTTTAACTAGATCTTTATTTTCAGTTTTCCCCTTAAAATGATTTTTTTCACCATTGAAACTGCTGTGTCTTGTAACAAAATTTGCTCTTTTCCTGAGGATATGAACTGACTGCCCACAGAAAATGTATGTTTTAATTCTTGATCAGAATAAACCTGCTTAGCTGACCTCCAAGGGGCTAACTGAGAATAAAAACTAACCTCTTCCCAACTCTGAGCAGCTTTATTAAATGCCACTGTTTCTTTATTTTGCAGTGCTTTAGCTATGCTTGTCTTTAATTGGACTCTGGTATGATGTATTCATAGCTGCTGAGCACTGCTGTGATAATCACAAGCTATTTTGTAAACAGGCTGACCCAGTTGCTGTATATATCCTATAGGCAGTGCAGCTTTTGCCAGAACTTCTTAATATTGCAAGCCCTGCAGACAGGCAGAAGCTCACTTGCATGTGACTGTACTTTGTAATGGTGGAGAGAAAAAAAAAAACCTCAGTCTTGCTTTCTGGCAGAGCTACCAGTGTGTTAAAATACCTGCGCTCTGCTCAGAAAAGTAATAACTTGAAGAAAGTTTCTCCTAATGTGGAAAGAGCCTGTTCTACTTATTAAAACAGCATGCTGAGTTTACACAGCTCAGAGTGAAATGCACCTGAATTTCTCTAAGGTTTTAGATAAATGCTTTTTCTTGCTTGCCTTTGCTTCCCCAAGAGCAAAATTAGAATAATGATCACTTAGTGAACAGTATCATGAGGTTAAGCTGCTTTGAGGCTGGGAGTTCATCCCAGGAGAGCCCTGTCATGGGCAGCTTAGTCTGACTTCTGTGGTAGGACTTGTAGGAGCTCTGTTGTTTCAGAGAGATGGTTGTATGCAACAGCTAAGGACATTTTTAACAGATAAGATAAGGTGTGGTATGTTACTTTGTTTGCTGTTCTACTTTAGGTGTTTTAAATGTCAAATGCTGAAAAAATCTTGATTTGGTCAGAAAGTAAAAATAACAAAAATCACAGTTATTTCTTAAACTATAATCACACCCCTCCCGCCCCGCCGCGGCAAGACGGCCGGGGGAGGAAAAGGCGCAGCTGCCAGACACAACACACGATATTGGAATAAAGGCTGTCACCCCACGACAAAATATTTTTGGAAATTTGAAGTATCTGTGTACATCTTCCTCTACCACTTTGAGTTGAAGACTATTTTAGGATAATTTAAAAAAACAATCAACAAAGACTGAAAAGATTCACAAATTTAATGTTTTATGATTTTATGTTTTTGAAAAGTTTCACAAATTTGAAAAGCTGCTTTGATGAGGGAATAACTGTTTTGTGTTCTTTCTTTTAAAGCAGAATGGATAATTTGCAAGGAAAAAAAAATTTATGGGGATCTCAGATCAATTTCCTTAAACTCAGTTCTCCTCTGTAACTGTTTATGGAACTTCTTGTACAGTCCCTTGACAGTAGATTCTGAAAAGAAAATCCTTCAAGGGGACATTCTCTGTTCATCATCTTGATACTGAGTTGTGTAAGAGCAGAAACTCTTCCTGGTTAGCCTCCTGTAGGTGCAGCATCATTTCTCTAAACTGTCCAAACAACAATGGAAAACTTAAAGGTTCTAATAAAAATTTAAGAGGAAAAAAGATTATATGAGGCAAGTAAGAGAAAGCAGAAATGAAAACAATATCCTTATCATAAATCCTAGAGGTAAAACTTGAATTATGTGTGTAGGTCAGCTATTTAGAATGCATCTTTCTGTGCCTGCACAGCTGGGGTATCATGAAAAAAGGTAGTTTTGTCTTTTCACTTCTTTCTTCTTTCTTTTCCTTGTCCTTTTCCTCAAGTGTAATATTGTTTTGAGTATAAAGAGGAAGGAACAGACAGGAAAAAATCTGAAATAATTTTTTGTGAAGGCTCAGTCACAGCAGAGCACAGCAATAATGTGTTCAAATGGGGAGGAGCATAACTCTAGACAGATGTTAGAGGGCCATCACCACCACACTGGCTGGGAAGTTATTTAGGGTTGTCTAAGGAGATAAATATGAAGTCAACAGCATGATGATCATGACATCAAAGTGTCTTTATACATACTGTGTTGAATTGTTCTGGGTGGAATACTGGGGAAAATTCCACAAAGTGAAATATTTAGAAAAACAGAAGATTCCTAAGAAGAGGGTTTGGTTTATGTTGTCTGAGTCAGGCAGAGCTGGGCTGAGCCAAATGTTATAAAATATAGCACTGAGACCACTTCTCTCCTGGAGCAGGAGCAGGCAGACTGGATGACCTAATACATTTTCTCATATCATAGCTAGATCTCTGAAAACAAATCTCACCAAGAGCTAAAAAAGGATTTCTATATCCATTAGGTTTTCTGTCTCTGCTTGGAAGTATTTCACTTCATCCCAGGGCTCCTAAAGCTGTTTGTAAATATTTCATGGAGTTCAGAGGGTCTCTCTCCCTTCAGTTGTTGTTTCTGTGTGTCTGATGTTTGCCTCGTGGGTGGCTTCAGTAAATAGGCTTTTAATGGTTTTAGGAGCAAAAAGCACCTGAGGTCCAGAAATTCTAAAAGCCATCCTACTGCCATACACAGTGGTGTGTTGCTGCAAATATGTAATTGTGAATGCATCACATTCCTCTGTTTCCACTACAGTCTTGCCTGGATAAAAGGGAGTGGGGTTGCTTGCCTCCCACCTTTCAAAACCAGATCTCTAAAATGTGATTCCAAGTTAAAACATCTCCAGAAGTGGCCTCAGTTTAGAAGCTGCATAAATACTGAGTATCTCCAACTGGTATCAATGGGATTTACCTCTGTGCAACAGGTAAATCCAGTGCCAGCTTTTGGCTGATACTGGTCTCTTCAAGACAGAAGCCTCATCTCTCCAGAGACGCTGTCATGTCTGTGCATGCCAAAGGTGCTTCCCCAGTGATAT